TTTTTTATATAGCTATGCTTTCAAAACACCCCCCCACACACACACAAAACCGAATATACCGGTCCGCACACACTTCCTGCTACCCCATATGAACTTCACGTAGTCGTCCCCTTACACCAGACTATGCTGCCCGACACCATGTGGGTGGGTGGAGGTGGATTCAGGTATCAGGGCACCGTAGAAACAGTCAAACTCATTGTGTTCTTTTTTGTTTGGAGCATATTCGCTGAGGTTTCAAGTTCACGTATTTGCCAAAAAGACAATGAGTTAGAAAGCTGTCACAGCTATTTTGCGTTCACCCCTTGTTTTACGCAATTAAATTTGTTTATAAGTATCACGACAGACTTCAAGAAAGTCAACTGTTAATACAACCACAGTCAACGAATAGAAAATTGTTTTTTTGTGTGTGTGTGTGTGTAGAAAAAGACCCCCTGGGCGTGTGCCCGGATATGACCTCAACTTCTTTATTGTGTCAAAAGTGGGGGGTGGGCGTTTGTCCAGGCAGGCATTAGCGAAAATAGCGATATTAAAATCCAGAAAATGATTAGTGCATTTACGGTACTGCATGCGCGCCCTACCACGCCCTCTTGTGGCCGCCCCTAACTGCGCCATCCTTTATTATTTTGGTCTGCGGAGAACTAAAAGAAACATACGCTCGCTTGCGAGAATGATATACTGAATCTTTATTTTTTTTTTGCAGCTAAATAACCAATTTGTTGGAATAAATGGTCAAATATTCAAACTTTCGATCCACTATTTAAATTTTGCTACCACTGTCGTGAACAGTCGCTCGTTACACTCGACCACTGAAAGATTAATCCAAAAGGTCCTAGAAATATAATTGGGACCTTGTGGATTTATAATACATCGTTTTAGTTATAGACTGAGCGATAGTGTCTAAAAACTCGAACCAATAAAAAAATGTATTATTAACCCAAAAGGTTCCGGGGGGTCTAGTTGGGACCTCGTAGATTAATAATACATCGTTTTAATTACCAGTATAGCACGGAATGTAATGGGCACCAAGCTACTGTGGCGTAGTGCCTAATTGCCAAACCATGGAGGTATATACCTCCATGGCCAAACCAATTAAAGTGGTTATGTCAATCAACGAGCTTTTGATAAGTGCTCAGATATCACTGTCAATGTGTGATGTCAAATGTTGTCTCTATTTAATTATTTCATTAGCAATGTCGACGGGTGCCATAGCGGTATAACTTCGACCTCCTCACTTAGTCATTAGCTTGGTTATTTTTTTTTTCAGGGTGAAGTTGTTTTAATTTTGTTCGAATTTTCTTTATAAGAGTTGCAAACCAATATGCATAAAATACACGTTAACAATAAAATACATTTCGACCCCCAAAAAGTCACAGTAAAAATCAATTTAAATTTCCAAATATTGCGTATAAATCATAGTAAATAATAACGCCACACAAGTTGTATTCGTCACGTGGAATCCCGTTCTCCTTCCCAGAGTTCCTTGCGGCTAGAACACCGAAACTCTGCTCGGGAGTGGAAACCCTGTCGGCTGTTCACGACGTATCCCGACGACTATCACGGTGGTCGGGCACGTGGTGGTCGGGTTGGTTTTTAGACACTATCGCTCAGTTTTTAGACACTATCGCTCAGTCTATAACTAAAACGATGTATTATAAATCCACAAGGTCCCAATTATATTTCTAGGACCTTTTGGATTAATCTTTCAGTGGTAGTTTTATGAAAGCTCTTGATTATTGCAGATACATCGATAGTTTTATTTTTAGACTAGTCAACAGTGCGTGAACATTTTTTTTAATTCACATTTAATCTGTATACTACAAGGTCACACTTTCTACATGACAGAGCAACATTAATATATAGATACATTCCTTGTCGTAAAAACAACGATAAAATGTCTAAACGGACCAAACTTTCTCTTTATTTTTTACATTAGTTTTAACAACACTGGATACGATGACCCCGCATATTTTTTCGGGTCATCCTTGTATCACGAAATATGCGCGAAAAGACATCATCAAAATATAGGTCAGCAGACAACTGCCATTTTCTTACGTACACATTCATGTTCATTTCCATATGGGTCGAATCAGTAGTATTGTGGCTGGCATGAAACAAATAAAACACGAACAAAAATAATTTTAATGTTTTTGTACACGGCCGTATAATCATTGACCACCATGGGAATCAGTACAAAAAACGTACGTGTAAATAAAATAAAAAAACAAAAAAAAACAAAAAAAAAAACATCTTTCTATGTGAAACTGAATCAACGACATGGTACGAATACTTCTACTTCAAGATAAACATATAAATGCCGCGAAAACAGACCGTGGAATTCGCGTACCACATTACGGCTGTCATTTCAACCAATCATGTCCCACAACGCTTGTCACGTGTCAAGGGTTGTCCCTACGTGCAGCCATTTCAACGGAAGGCGTTTGCTGTCGGTTCTTATTTTGCCCTATTTGGCGTCGATTTTAACTTTCAAGTCACCGATCCTGCTCGGTTCACTTGTGTGGATTACTGGCTCGGCCGTGGATTGTTGTGTTTCGCCGTACCTCGGATAACCGATCCGCGAAATCATGTCGAACCCCAGATGCGGGAAATGCGGCAAAACGGTGTACCCCGTCGAAAAACTAAATTGTTTAGACAAGGTAACGTAGAAATCGATTTATTTCACAGTCTGCCATATCATGGATGTTCCCCTTGGTAATTTTCCCGTCTTTGTGATATTTCAGTTTTGGCATAAAGGATGTTTTCGCTGCGAAGTCTGTCATATGGCCCTCACGATGAAGAATTACAAAGGCCACAACAAGTTACCTTACTGCAACGCGTAAGTACCAATACCATGACCTCTGACCTTGTACCCAGCCATCTGTGCCCCTCAGCTACTAGAGTCGTCTCCCGGAAGCACTCAGATCATCATTTCAGTTATTTATTGACATACTGGGTTGATTGTTTTCCAGTACAAGATCATAATGTGCCTGTAGTTGTTAATGTAAACTTTTAAGGGGTTTATTTTCAATGATTGTGGGCTGGCTGGGACAGAGTTGTTTGGGCTGGTTATTCTTTATCATTTACATCAAAACCATGTTTTAGTAATGATTTTTCCCAGTGGGACAAAACTTGTTGCCTTTTTCTTATCTTGAATTTATTGTTTGTTTGTGACAACAGCAAAGTCTTCTTGCTTTTCATGCAACTTCTAAGAAACGTGTTAAAACTTTCAGTGTGGGTACTACATGTTTGACAATACTGCATTGGAATATTGTGTGAGCATTTCTGTATTTATTCTGTCACAATGGACAATCAGTTTTTTTATTTTGGTTGCCTCTGGGACAAGTGTGGTTTCCCCGGTGACAACTGTGGTTTCCCCGGTGACAACTGTGGTTTCCTTCGGGACAAGTGTGGTTTCCCCAAAACAAGTGTGATTGTCCACAGGAAAATGATGTGGTTGCCCACGATTCAAGTATGGTTGTCCCGAGAATCACAACCGGATTATCGTCGTTTTCAAAAAAACTTTTGCTCATGACATAAACAGGCATGTGGAAAGAAAAAAAAGTGCTTAAAAGCAAATAAATAGATTGTAATATTTCCACTGTTAATGAGGTTAGAATCAAAAAGCAGCACTGTCAGTTTGAACAACATCAGGCCATGCTGTTGACAAGTTGGAAGTTCATCGCCATGATGTGTAAAGATGCCATAAGTCACCTGATGTGTGAATTCACGTTTTTGATTGGATAGCTTCTTGATCCTGTGTCAGTACACTTTTGAATTGTATTTGAATTACTGTAGAATACTTTATTTTCGCTTGGAATTTGTTTTTCACTATTATACATTTTTTCTTATGTTTTACATTAATCTCATCAAAAATCAGTGAAAATTAATTCCAAGCAAAACGCCCAAAAAGCCTTTTCAGCGAAAATTAATTCCAGTGAAAATAAAGTATTCCACAGTAACTGTAACAACGAACTTGGCATTATATATTGGGGGGTACTTGGTTTGTTTAATGCCCATCATTGGCGTTACTTGAATGTCGGTGTGATTTTTTGTGGTCGTAGGGGTTTTCGTTAAGAGCCGGCCGATGGTCACATGGCCTGCTACAAGCCCAAATTGGCAGTCTACTCTGCCCCCGACTGCCGACCGCCTACGCCGGTCTCGCTGCAGCGGTTTGCACTGCAGAGAGCCTTTTTATTTGGCCTGTTATAACAGAATGATGGCCTGCTATTAAATGCATTTGTGAAACCCCCGAGGTAGATTTGCGTACTTTCAACAAAGCTCAGCACTTGTCGTTGTGTGCGTAAAGTCGACGCTTAACCTGCCATTGCTAGGCACATGACACATGTTATGTCTGTCAATCTAGTTTCATTTGAAAAATAAAACACAAAAAAAAAATCTATTTATATTTTATCAACCGAAAATTATTTAATAAATTCAGACAGAAAACAAAATATTTCCATTTGTGTCCTATTAATTCACACTCTTGAAAAAAAACAATCATGATTACAACTGCTTTAGTTTTTATGGTATTTATTTGTTATTGCAACATCGAAAAATTGTCCAGGTGCTGAAACATTACCCTGGATGATCTAATGTGGTGAGAGAAAAAATTATTAAGATGCTGCGTCAGTAGAGCATCTCTGATAGAAGTGTGCAATAAAAAGTCTGTTGTATACTAAATCATTAAATTATCTATTTTTACCTTAACATACTTCTGTCATTTATGTGAGTACATGTACTAATAATAGAGCAAATACAGTATTGTATACTGAATTATTAAAATATGACTTATTTTGACCATAGACCATGTAAGTACATGCACTACTAATAGAATGAATACAGTATCTTTCTCGAATTTTTGCATCAGTGTATGCCAGGGAATTAGAAAAATTCTGTCTACACTAGTGGTGTGCATTCCGCCCATCACATACAGAAAAATAAATTAAACATCTGGGAAACTTATTATTCAATACTTCTACATGCATATCACAGTGGCATATTTCAGTTAGCTGAATACTAAATAAAAAAAATATAAATTCATTTGTTAATATTATTTTCTCCATGTTTGCCTAGTGGTTTGATCAGTTACTGAAAAAAACCAATGTATTACTTCTTGCTAACACTATTTTACACTCAGCTGACATCTAGATTAGAGTTTTCAAATGGTTGCCCTTGAAGGTTTATCTCAAAAAGATACGCTAAAAGGACCCCCCCCCTCCCCTCACATTTCATCCAATGCTTTGATGGGTTTAACAGGACTCTGAGAATTGTTTTGAAGTCTTCATTCGAGACTCGGTTGTAGTACTATGTCATATGGTTCTACTCGGATTAAAGGATTTTCCATTTGACTGGAAAATTTAAAAAATAAAAATAAAAAATATTGTCAGAGGTGATAAGCCTGATGCTAAAAAAAATGAATGTACATGTTATCCTAAAAGTAGATGATCATGGTGAATGTTGCGTAAATCATGCAAATCGTACCCGGATGCGTGACCTGTAAGGTACCGGGATACATAAATGTACGTGACCTGTAAGGTACCGGAATGCATGACTAGTGAGGTACCCGGATGTGTGATCTGTAAGGTACCAGTATTCTGTGACTGGGATGTGTGTACAAATGCATATTCTGTAAATGTATGTCTGGGCTGGTCTGGTAAATGTAAAATTTAATAATTAAGTACTTGCAGCGCAGCGTGTTGAGTTTTACCGGCATGTGTTCAAGTACATGTATTGTGACTACTTGACATTCTTGCAGGGACTTAACCAGAAAAGTTATTTGAGTGACTGTGATAAAAGGTGACTTGAACCAAAGCCTTTCATGAAAATCAATCATCTAGCAATCTTGTTTCAAATGAAATGAGGCGTTGCCTCATTATGAGAAGTATCTTTCCTATTGGGCTCATGGGGTCACATGACTTTGTATGTCACATGACAGACAAAATCTCATTAAAATGTACTATATGCATTTGCTTTTTGCGTCAGTTTTGCAATTTGTTTTTTGCAAAAAGAAGAAATGAACATGATCACACATATACTATAAACATAGATGTTAGAAAATTACTTGCAACCTGCCATTGTCTCGATGGATCGGCAAAATTTTTGTGGGGGGGAAAAAAGACACCATTGAACAATATGTTAATAGTGGTGTTCAGTTTTCTCACTAACATTTGTGGACTTGAATTACTATTTTACTTAAACAATATTATACTAAAACTAAATAATTAAGTGTTTTCTTGATGTCTAATTGTTATTTCTGTTTGTGATACAATGTACCTTGTTTTAAAATATTGACCATTTCTTAGAATATTTGGCTTGAAACTTCTTTTTAGCCATTTGTGGCAAAACTGACAACTTGTGATACTGTAAGATCATTTATGTTCGCTGGCATTTAATTTTTTTATTTTAATGTCTTGAGCAATTTCACTTGGTTTTAAGTTCCTGAACTTGACCCGGAAAACAATGGGTTCTATTGTTTGTTGACAAGGATGTAATTTAGTGAATTTTACTTATCAGCATAAATAGTTTAATTAAAAACCAGTGAATAATTAATAGATTTACAGTACTGTAAAATACTTTATTTCAGCTTGAGATTTATTTTCGCTATTTTAGCTGAAGGGATGATAAAATGAAAATAAACTCTAGCAAATATACCTTTTTACGTACTGTAAAATACTTAATTTTAGCTGGAATTAATTTTCACTGATTTTCGAAGTTGAATGTAAAATATAGAAACGAAAGTATATTCCCTGGATTTTATTTTCACTGAATCATTCCTTCAGCGAAAGTAAATACCTAGTGAAAATAAAGTATTTTACATTATATTTCACATTCAATTCATCAAAAATCAGTGAAATTAAATTCCATACAAAACATCCCAAAAACCTTTCCAGCGAAAATTAATTCCAGCTAAAATAAAGTATTTTACAGTAATCTGAAATAATTATGCTATCGGTGACTGTCGAGGGGTTAGTGAAAGCTAAGGACATGCATGTACCTCGATCATTCAAGTTTGTGAATGCGCTATAATGGAGCGCATTTATTGAGACCATCCTGGGTATTAGTAATTTTAAAGGGCGGCAGTCGTCGTAGCCCGTCCTGTTCGATATGGGACTCATAGCGACGTATACAACGCGTGTAAAATACATTGTTCATTTACATGAAATTCGAACACGCGCTGCGCGCCGACCACCGCGCTTTAAGCTGTTGTCTACAAACTAACACCGACGCAGATAATTTTGATAATTACGTACTGTATAATAATTTTTTTTTTAGTTGGAATTAATTGTCGCTGAAAAGACTTTATGGGTGTTTAAGTATGGAATTTATTTTCACTGATTATTGACGAGTTTATTGTAAAAAAATAGGAAAAAAACGTATATTCACTGGATTTTATTTTCACATAATCATCCCTTTCAGCGAAAATAGCGAAAATTAATTCCAAGCGAATATAAAGTATTTTACAGTGTATAGGCAACATACATTTCCAACAAATGAGGTTATAACTTAGCGTGAAGTCCTGACAGTGATATTGGACAACCATAGTGTTTATAATTCTGACCCCAATTATTTTTTTCAATTTCGACTCCTATGGGGGTATTTCCATTCCAATTTTTTTTTTCTCGGGAGAACATTTTTTTTTTTATAGCAACAATTTTGATTAGTAAGCTGACTCTCCTTATTCGGTTTCTGTGCAATGTTTATACATTTACTGTAAAATGACTAATTTTCACTGAGTTTAAATTTCGCTGATTTACCATTTCAGGCATATTCAGTTGGTTTTAAATTCACGGTTTTTATCATTTAAATAACGTGTTCTATGCTAAATTTTACATATTC